ACACCCTTTTAGCCTTCACCATTAATGTCCAAAAAGGGGCATCCTAAATGTCCTCATTGCTATTCCTGCAGTAGGGAGCAATCTAGTGTCCCCCATCACCCCACCCCATGCCTGTTACACCTTTAGACTTTCAGTGTAGCCCCCTTTTGAGTAACCCCCAACCAGTTCAGATGGGGTGCCAAGCGCCGCCCCTCGAGTCAGCAGGCTCCAGCCTTCGGGGCTTGGCACCCATCACTGGCCTGTGGCACTTCCCTCTTGTTCGCCCTGCTGCGGGCTGGTCAGACCTGGCAGCTCTCCCGCACTGTGTCTTCAGGGCTGCCCTCTGCAGCCCTGCCATCTAGGGAGCATCAAACCAATCTTAAGACTGTGGCCTTGTAGCTCCATCCATGTGGGAAATTTGCCACTCCCCCCGCACCCTCCCTTCTGGGAAAAAAAAAAAAGTCAGCTACTGTAATTAAAGACTCTTCTTGGCTGGCACACCCTTGTGGGTTCTTATGAATGCAGCAGCTGCCCAAAGCAGGAAGCCGACAAGTCCATGTTATTTTATTGTCTTCCAGGAGGACAATGTTGACTTTGTGCTGTAAATTTTACCACCTGCACTCAACATGCCTGGACAGTGATCAGTGTGTAAGAGAGCTGGCCATGGGGACTGGAATGAGAGAAGTTATTCAAAACTCTGTATCTTCTGATGTGAGCTGACTGCCCCCACCAAGGCGCCAAGTGTCTTTCTGGAGCAGTCTGTCCAAGAGAGATATCATGTGATCCACATGTGTAATGTCACATTCTCCAGCAGTCACATTTTAAAACAGTAAAATCAGGACATTAATTTTGAGCAAGCATTCTGTTTAACTTCCTATATCCCAAAAGTCTTTTCGACACATTTTGCCTTTTTTCCCAGGAATCCTGTGTGTATTTTCCACTCGCGGCATGTCTCCCTGTGCGTGCCTCAGCGCGTTCTGAGCGCGATCGCCATGTGTGGCCGTGGGAGGTGCTAGTTCTTTGTGGTGGGTCACTGGCTTCGCGTCAAATTCGACTCGGTATTTGGCGTTTATTTGAAAGAGTGGGGAGCCATCGATTGAAAGGGAGGGAGTAAGGCTAGCCAAATGATTCAGGAATGCTTAATGGTTACTAAGTGAAGTTTTGTGATTATTGGGAGCAAATACTTGTGCTGCGGGAACACCTAACTTAATAGATTCTGAGATACTTTGAGGATGCTTGACAATTTCCTTAAGCAGTTCAGATGGCACCCCGCATTTTCTCTCTTCTATAACTA